GATGCATTTAAAATTAATTATTTATTGCTGCTGGAAAATCATTTATATATAATAAAAAAAAATAATGGCCCAAGAATTGATCCTTGTGGTACTCCCAATCTGATCTGTTTCCACTCAGAAAAATATTGTATAGCTTCTTTATCCTTAATTACTACTCGTTGGTATCTGTCACTTAAATGTGAGGTAAGCAATTTATGAAATATACCTCTTATACCATAGAAATCCACTTTCTCAAGTAAAATATCATGGTTCACACTATCAAAGGCCTTTGTTAAGTCGCAGAAAATACCACCGACCAATTTTCTGTCATTAAGTGCCTGCATAATATTATTAAGTAAACTAAGAATAGCAGTATCTGTAGATAGATGTTTCCTAAATCTGTGTTGCTCAGCAGGCAATATATTATTAAGTACTACATGAGCATACACTCTATAATATATATCCTTTTCAAATATTTTAGAAAAGGATGTAAGCACAGAACAGTAACAACACTGTTAAGTATACCTTCTTTTTCATCTGCATACAGTAAGAGAATTTGCAAGGAAAGACCCATTTGTTTCACTTTTTCTTGACCCTTCAGTTCTCCAGGCTCCCACCATTAGTGCACTTTCAAAAACTTCAAACAATCATGCAATACCCTGTAAGCTAAACTGTGGGAACACCCTAGTGCATTTGCTACACTGTCTATCATTATCGTCCTGTCAGCTCAAACCAACTCTTTGACCCACTGCACAGTCACTTCTGTTGCAATCTAAACAGGGCAACCTGGTCAGGGACCATTTGTGACTTTCGAAAGTCCTTGAGACAATTTCTCCACCCAGTGGTGAACTGCGTTACATGACACAGACTTCCCACCATAAACTGGAAACATTTCTTCATTAACATCCTTTGCGTTGTGTCCTTTTGCCTAAAAAAAAAAGTACAACAAAATGCTTCTCCTTGGTAGTACAATAATCAAGCACGGTCCCATTCTGACTATTGAAACCAGCCACTGAATATGCGCATACATCTGTTTGTCATTAATTGATAATCATAACAAAGATGGCTGCTGATTGTACAATTTTAACCTTTAAGTGACGGCCCTTTAAATTCCGGTAATGGCAGTGGGACGGATTTGATTTAAATACCCACAATTTTAAAGCAATAAAAACTGTAATCATTTCCTAAAATTGCTGTGATTTCTACAATTTTTGTGATAAACTAACCAAATAAACTCTGTTTTTTTCTAGAAAGAATATAGAATCAGATATTATAATTTAGAGATTTTATAAAATGTGTAAATTTTTTTAGACTGATTTGAATTATAAAATTCCCAAATTTGTTGTCTGTCTACAAGAATTCATATAGTTCTTGGAACTAAGAATGCTGTATGTAGATGTGGCAACACAGCGGAAGGTTATGAAGATGATTATGTTTAGTCTTGCATGTCTCGAAGAATATACACGTACCTTCTTTTTTATGCAGAGATGTGGGCGTGTATATCTCCGTTTATAAGAACGTTGATTGATTATACACAAGTTCTCTGTACTGACCAGGCTCGGTTAGTTTATCGCAACTCTCAAGGCCAAGCACAGCCAAGCAGTGTCATAGAGCTTCAAAGTTTCGCAGCGAGAACAGTGATATTATCAGCTCACCATGGCGTCGTTTCGTTGGAAGATTCAGACATTTTTCAACTCGTAAATGACTCCAAATCAGATTGTTTTACTGACAATTCTGAGAGTGGCATTGAGGAAAGTGATTCAGAAATGGATTTCGACGAAGACCCATCACCTTCGTCGGCAACCTGGGGACCACCACACCAGCGTGGCAAGAGGAGTGTGAATAATTATTCAGGTGGAGCTGTGGGGTTAAATACCAGTGAAACTCTACACGTGAATAAACAGTTATAGCATCTGTCGTCGAACCTGGAAATGGACAAATAAATTATTTTTCCATCTCCTGGATCTGACAGTTCTGAACAGTTATATCCTGTTGTCATCCTGTGGCGCAAAATTGTCACACAGAGAATTTCATCTCGCCCTTGTGCGGAACATGATGGAGCATGCTGGAAGGGGCCCCCCTCACACTCAATGGCCCAGGGGTCGAACCCCTGCCGTTTCATCGGGGTCATTTCGAATCACATGAGCCAACATTCTGTTAGACGACGACGGTGGGAAGAGAGACAACTTATAAAGCTGGTGACCAAAAATCATGTAAGTAGAAAAATAATTTATAACCTAAAATTTGATTTTAAAAAGCCGGCC